GCAAGTTGCACATTTGTGTCAGCAGCAAGAAGTAAACAAATGAAAAATAGTGAGCTGTGATTTTGCTTCCATATTTTGCAAGAGAGACAACATGATGAAATGGGCTCTGGTCCCTCCTCATCAGAACTGCTTATTATTTCATCAGACAGTTTTGGCTGTATGCCTTCGTTGACCCTTATTTCCAGTCCATCGCTGACACTTTTGACTTTTGTCACAAAAGGAATTTAGAACTTTAATCAGCAATGGAATTACATTAACATAAAATTAGCGTTTAAAATCAGACGTCCTTTGCATAGTAGTTTAAACATGGGAAGGTCAAACAAAGCAAGTGATTATGTACTTCATCTACAGGATTGAGCATTTGATTAGATGTCTTTTGGTGAAATTCCATGTTACATACACATGAAATAGTAGGCTTGCTAGATTGTCTTCTGATTTAGATGTTTATCGGATCTCTTTTCAGAATATAGCTGTCTTTTTTATTATATTTGTCTACTATTAATTCAGTTTGCTAGTAATTGTTTTGTAAATAAATGATAAAAAAAGCTCTAATTCCCAGAGCCCTAGGTGACATTTTCAAATGCTTTAATTCATTAAAACAACAGTAAAAAGCAACAACATAGAATTCAGGTTACATTCCTCCCATTGAAATAGCTTGAATCCGAACGATTGGACAGGTTTGTTTGAAATTGACTGCAATTATGAATGAGAATAGTCGACAAATAAGACTTTTGAATTTGGTTCAGAGCTGAGCTAGAACAAAGTGTGAACTGGTGACTACAACACATGCTTGAATGTGGCTGGAAAGTGAGTTAAAATCTACCTACTGACTAACTACCTATGTTTAATTCAGATAGCTACATAAATGCTCGTTGCAATTCTATATTGAGATCCATTCATCAGATCTACTGTATTTATTTGTATTAGTAGAGATTTGTGAAAAGCCAAATTGCTCATATTCCGACCCTTAGTGGTTGGAAGATGTACAATATAGTGGCCTTGTCACACCTGTTCTCTCCTCTCATCCTGTGTGTCTTGAGCACATTATAAAGTGAAGACAAATTTGATAAGAATATATAAAAGGTGTGTGGCGTAGTGGATTGTGCGTTGGTGTTCGGATCAGGGGGTCACAGGTTCAAACCCCACTGCAGTCAGCATGGGTAAGACACTTCACCCCAAATTGCTCCTGTGGGGATTGTCCACAGTATTAAGTATGTAAGTCGCTTTGGATAAAAGCGTCTA